TGTACACACACACAGTGTATACACACAGTGTACACACACACACACAGTGTACACACACACAGTGTACACACACAGTGTACACACACAGTGTACATACACACACACAGTGTACACACACACAGTGTACACACACACAGTGTACATACACATACAGTGTACACACACACACAGTGTACACACACACAGTGTACACACACACAGTGTACATACACATACAGTGTACACACACACACAGTGTACACACACACACAGTGTACACACACACACAGTGTACATACACACACACAGTGTACACACACACAGTGTACACACACACAGTGTACACACACACAGTGTACACACACACAGTGTACACACACACACAGTGTATACACACAGTGTACACACACACACACAGTGTACACACACACAGTGTACACACACAGTGTACACACACAGTGTACACACACAGTGTACACACACACATAGTGTACACACACACAGTGTACACACACAGTGTACACACACACAGTGTACACACACAGTGTACACACACACAGTGTACACACACACAGTGTACACACACACACAGTGTACATACACACACAGTGTACACACACACACAGTGTACACACACACAGTGTACACACACACACAGTGTACACACACACAGTGTACACACACAGTGTACACACACAGTGTACACACACACACAGTGTACACACACACAGTGTACACACACACAGTGTACACACACACAGTGTACACACACACACAGTGTACATACACACACAGTGTACATACACACAGTGTACATACACACACAGTGCACACACACACACAGTGTACATACACACAGTGTACACACACACAGTGTACACACACAGTGTACACACACACACACACAGTGTACACACACACAGTGTACATACACACAGTGTACATACACACAGTGTACACACACACACAGTGTACATACACACAGTGTACACACACACACAGTGTACACACACAGTGTACACACACACAGTGTACACACACACAGTGTATACACACAGTGTACACACACACACACAGTGTACACACACACAGTGTACACACACACACAGTGTACACACACACACAGTGTACACACACAGTGTACATACACACACACAGTGTACACACACACACAGTGTACACACACACAGTGTACACACACAGTGTACACACACACAGTGTACACACACAGTGTACACACACAGTGTAGACACACACACAGTGTACACACACACACAGTGTACACACACACAGTGTACACACACACAGTGTACATACACACACACAGTGTACATACACACACACAGTGTACACACACACAGTGTACACACACAGTGTACACACACAGTGTACACACACAGTGTACACACACACATAGTGTACACACACACAGTGTACACACACAGTGTACACACACACAGTGTACACACACAGTGTACACACACACAGTGTACACACACACAGTGTACACACACACACAGTGTACATACACACACAGTGTACACACACACACAGTGTACACACACACAGTGTACACACACACACAGTGTACACACACACAGTGTACACACACAGTGTACACACACAGTGTACACACACACACAGTGTACACACACACAGTGTACACACACAGTGTACACACACACAGTGTACACACACACAGTGTACACACACACAGTGTACACACACACACAGTGTATACACACAGTGTACACACACACACACAGTGTACACACACACAGTGTACACACACAGTGTACACACACAGTGTACATACACACACACAGTGTACACACACACAGTGTACACACACACAGTGTACACACACACACACACAGTGTACACACACACACAGTGTACACACACACACAGTGTACACACACACAGTGTACACACACACACACAGTGTACACACACAGTGTACACACACACACAGTGTACACACACACACAGTGTACACACACACACAGTGTACACACACACAGTGTACACACACACACACACAGTGTACACACACACAGTGTACACACACACAGTGTACACACACACAGTGTATACACACAGTGTACACACACACACAGTGTACACACACACACAGTGTACACACACACACAGTGTACATACACACACACAGTGTACACACACACAGTGTACACACACACAGTGTACACACACACAGTGTACACACACACAGTGTACACACACACACAGTGTATACACACAGTGTACACACACACACACAGTGTACACACACACAGTGTACACACACAGTGTACACACACAGTGTACATACACACACACAGTGTACACACACACAGTGTACACACACACAGTGTACACACACACACACACAGTGTACACACACACACAGTGTACACACACACACAGTGTACACACACACAGTGTACACACACACACACAGTGTACACACACAGTGTACACACACACACAGTGTACACACACACACAGTGTACACACACACACAGTGTACACACACACAGTGTACACACACACACACACAGTGTACACACACACAGTGTACACACACACAGTGTACACACACACAGTGTATACACACAGTGTACACACACACACACAGTGTACACACACACAGTGTACACACACACACAGTGTACACACACACACAGTGTACACACACAGTGTACATACACACACACAGTGTACACACACACACAGTGTACACACACACAGTGTACACACACAGTGTACACACACACAGTGTACACACACAGTGTACACACACAGTGTACACACACACACAGTGTACACACACACACAGTGTACACACACACAGTGTACACACACACAGTGTACATACACACACACAGTGTACATACACACACACAGTGTACACACACACAGTGTACACACACAGTGTACACACACAGTGTACACACACAGTGTACACACACACATAGTGTACACACACACAGTGTACACACACAGTGTACACACACACAGTGTACACACACAGTGTACACACACACAGTGTACACACACACAGTGTACACACACACACAGTGTACATACACACACAGTGTACACACACACACAGTGTACACACACACAGTGTACACACACACACAGTGTACACACACACAGTGTACACACACAGTGTACACACACAGTGTACACACACACACAGTGTACACACACACAGTGTACACACACAGTGTACACACACACAGTGTACACACACACAGTGTACACACACACACAGTGTACATACACACACAGTGTACATACACACAGTGTACATACACACACAGTGCACACACACACACAGTGTACACACACACAGTGTACACACACACAGTGTACACACACAGTGTCCACACACACACACACAGTGTACACACACACAGTGTACATACACACAGTGTACATACACACAGTGTACACACACACACAGTGTACATACACACAGTGTACACACACACACAGTGTACACACACAGTGTACACACACACAGTGTACACACACACAGTGTATACACACAGTGTACACACACACACACAGTGTACACACACACAGTGTACACACACACACAGTGTACACACACACACAGTGTACACACACAGTGTACATACACACACACAGTGTACACACACACACAGTGTACACACACACAGTGTACACACACAGTGTACACACACACAGTGTACACACACAGTGTACACACACAGTGTACACACACACACAGTGTACACACACACACAGTGTACACACACACAGTGTACACACACACAGTGTACATACACACACACAGTGTACATACACACACACAGTGTACACACACACAGTGTACACACACAGTGTACACACACAGTGTACACACACACATAGTGTACACACACACAGTGTACACACACAGTGTACACACACACAGTGTACACACACAGTGTACACACACACAGTGTACACACACACAGTGTACACACACACACAGTGTACATACACACACAGTGTACACACACACACAGTGTACACACACACAGTGTACACACACACACAGTGTACACACACACAGTGTACACACACAGTGTACACACACAGTGTACACACACACACAGTGTACACACACACAGTGTACACACACAGTGTACACACACACAGTGTACACACACACAGTGTACACACACACACAGTGTACATACACACACAGTGTACATACACACAGTGTACATACACACACAGTGCACACACACACACAGTGTACATACACACAGTGTACACACACACAGTGTACACACACAGTGTACACACACACACACACAGTGTACACACACACAGTGTACATACACACAGTGTACATACACACAGTGTACACACACACACAGTGTACATACACACAGTGTACACACACACACAGTGTACACACACAGTGTACACACACACAGTGTACACACACACAGTGTACACACACACACAGTGTACACACACACACAGTGTACACACACAGTGTACATACACACACAGTGTACACACACACAGTGTACACACACACACAGTGTACACACACACACAGTGTACATACACACACACAGTGTACATACACACACAGTGTACACACACAGTGTATACACACACACACAGTGTACACACACAGTGTACACACACACAGTGTACACACACAGTGTACACACACACACAGTGTACATACACACAGTGTACATACACACACACAGTGTACACACACAGTGTACACACAGTGTACATACACACACACAGTGTACACACACACAGTGTATACACACACACACACAGTGTACATACACACACACAGTGTATACACACACACACACAGTGTACATACACACACACAGTGTACACACACACACACAGTGTACACACACACAGTGTATACACACACACACACAGTGTACACATACACACACACAGTGTATACACACACAGTGTACATACACACACACAGTGTACACACACACACACTCCCTCACCTCAAACCCCCCTGGCCCCACCCCCCAGGTCGCCAGCCCCGCCCCCGCCGACCCCGAGATGCCACGCCCCCCGAGCACGTCCAGACACGTGATTGGCTGGCTGTGAGCGTCCAGCCGGCCAATGGGAGCCCGCCGCCGCACATCCCAACAGTGGATGGAGCCGGACTCACAGCCAATCAGAAGCAGCGCAGCGTCCTTGGCCTACAGAAGGCGGAGCATGTGGTGAGTGGGTGGTGAGTGTGGGGTGAGTGTGTGGGTGGTGAGTGGGTGGTGAGTGTGTGGGTGGTGAGTGGGTGGTGAGTGTGTGGGTGGTGAGTGGGTGGTGAGTGGGTGGTGAGTGTGTGGGTGGTGAGTGGGTGGTGAGTGTGTGGGTGGTGAGTGTGTGGTGAGTGTGTGGTGAGTGTGTGGGTGGTGAGTGTGTGGGTGGTGAGTGGGTGGTGAGTGTGTGTGGGTGGTGAGTGTGTGTGTGGTGAATGTGTGTGGGTGGTGAGTGTGTGGGTGGTGAGTGGGTGGTGAGTGTGTGTGGGTGGTGAGTGGGTGGTGAGTGTGTGTGTGATGAGTCTGTGGTGAGTGGGTGGTGAGTGTGTGGGTGGTGAGTGGGTGGTGAGTGGGTGGTGAGTTTGTGGGTGGTGAGTGTGTGGGTGGTGAGTGGGTGGTGAGTGGGTGGTGAGTGTGTGGGTGGTGAGTGGGTGGTGAGTGTGTGTGTGATGAGTCTGTGGTGAGTTTGTGGTGAGGCTGTAGCGTTACCATGTACAGCCGGAGGCTGGTAACCATGCCGACGATGGCCGGGTTGCCGGGGGCGACGCGGTCCAGCTCCAGGTAACCAGGCCAACGCAGCAGCACCACCTGGCGTTACCATGGATACCGACACACACACCCACCCACTCACTCACCCACTCACTCGTACACTCACTCACCCATCCACTCACTCACCCACTCACTCACTCACCAACTCACCCACCCACTCACCCACTCACCCACCCACTCAATCACACACTCACCCACTCACTAAATCACCCACCCACCCACTCACCCACCCACTCACCACCCACCCACTCACTCACCCACCCATCCACTCACTCACTCACCCACCCACCCACCCACTCACCCACCCACTCACTCACTCACCCACTCACTCACTCACCCACCCACCCACTCACCCACCCACTCACTCACTCACTCACCCACCCACTCACTCACCCACTCACACACCCACTCACCCACCCACCCACTCACTCACCCACTCACCCACCCACTCACCCACCCACCCACTCACCCACTCACTCACCCACTCACTCACCCACCCACTCACTCACTCACCCACCCACCCACTCACTCACCCACTCACACACCCACTCACCCACCCACCCACTCACCCACCCACTCACCCACCCACTCACCCACCCACCCACTCACCCACTCACTCACCCACTCACTCACTCACTCACCCACTCACTCACTCACTCACCCACCCACTCACTCACCCACCCACTCACCCACTCACTCACCCACCCACCCACTCACTCACCCACTCACCCACCAACTAACCCACTCACTCACCCACCCACTCACCCACCCACCCACTCACTCACCCACCCACTCACCCACTCACCTACTCACTCACTCACCCACTTACCCACTCACCCACCCACCCACCCACTCACTCACTCACCCACCCACCCACTTACTCACTCACCTACTCACCCACCCACCCACCCACTCACTCACCCACTCACTCACTCACCCACCCACTCACCCACTCACCCACTTACCCACTCACCCACTTACCCACTCACCCACCCACCCACCCACTCACTCACCTACTCACCCACCCACTCACTCACTCACTCACCCACCCACTTACTCACTTACCTACTCACCCACCCACTCACCTACTCACCCACTCACTCACTCACCCACTCACTCACCCACCCACCCACTCACTCACCCACCCACTCACTCACCCACTCACACACCCATTCACCCACCCACCCACTCACCCACTCACCCACTCACCCACCCACTCACTCACCCACCCACTCACCCACTCACTCACCCACCCACCCACTTACTCACTCACCCACTCACCCACCCACTCACCCACTCACTCACCCACTCACTCACTCACTCACCCACTCACCCACCCACCCACTCACCCACTCACTCACTCACCCACCCACTCACCCACCCACTCACCCACCCACTCACTCACTCACCCACCCACCCACTCACCCACTGACTCACCCACTCACTCACTCACCCACTCACTCACTCACCCACCCACCCACTCACCCACTGACTCACCCACTCACTCACTCACCCACCCACTCACTCACCCACCCACCCACCCACTCACTCACCCACTCACACACCCACTCACTCACTCACCCACTCACCCACCCACTCACCCACTCACCCACCCACTCACCCACCCACCCACCCACTCACTCACTCACCCACTCACCCACTCACCCACTCACCCACCCACCCACCCACTCACCCACCCACTCACCCACCCACCCACTCACTCACCCACTCACTCACTCACCCACCCACCCACTCACTCACCCACTCACCCACCCACTCACCCACCCACTCACTCACCCACTCACTCACCCACTCACCCACTCACCCACTCACTCACCCACTCACTCACTCACCCATTCACCCACTCACTCACCCACCAACTCACTCACTCACTCACCCACCCACCCACTCACTCACTCACCCACCCACTCACCCACCCACTCACTCACTCACTCACCCACTCACCCACTCACTCACCCACCCACCCACTCACTCACTCACTCACCCACTCACTCACTCACTCACCCACCCACTCACCCACTCACTCACTCACTCACCCACCCACCCACTCACTCACCCACCCACTCACTCACCCACCCACCCACCCACTCACTCACCCACTCACCCACCCACTCACTCACCCACTCACTCACCCACTCACTCACCCACTCACCCACCCACTCACCCACCCACTCACCCACCCACCCACTCACTCACCCACCCACTCACTCACCCACCCACTCACTCACTCACTCACCCACTCACCCACCCACTCACTCACCCACTCACCCACCCACTCACTCACCCACCCATTCACTCACTCACTCACCCACTCACCCACCCACTCACTCACCCACTCACCCACCCACTCACCCACCCACTCACTCACCCACCCACTCACTCACTCACTCACCCACTCACCCACCCACTCACCCACCCACTCACCCACCCACTCACTCACCCACCCACTCACTCACCCACCCACTCACTCACTCACTCACCCACTCACCCACCCACTCACTCACCCACTCACCCACCCACTCACTCACCCACTCACTCACCTGCAGTTCACCAGCGGCTGGTAAGGCTATCAAAGCCGTGCCTCCTCCTGCCTCCTCCTCCTCCTCCGCCATCGATGCCGTACAGAATCCACAGGAGCCACTCCGGTACTCCACCGGAGTGGCAACAACAACACCACCACCAACACCACCAACACCAACAACACCACCACCAACACCAACACCACCACCACCAACACCGCCAACACCACCAACACCACCACCACCAACACCACCACCAACACCACCACCGCCAACACCACCAACACCAACACCGCCACCACCGCCACCACTACCACCAACACCACCACCACCAACACCACCACCACCAACACCGCCAACACCACCAAATTGTGTCCACGCACACAGACGGCCGTCTCTGCCCTGGCTGATGAGACACACAGACAGAGACACACAGAGACATACAGGCAGACAGAGACACACAGGCAGGGAGACACACAGGCAGGGAGACACACAGGCAGACAGAGATACACAGGCAGGGAGACACAGAGAGAGAGACACACAGGCAGAGACACACAGAGAGATACACACAGAGAGAGAGACACAGAGAGAGAGACACAGAGACACACAGGCAGATAGAGACACACAGGCAGACAGAGACACAGGCAAACAGACACAGGCAGTGACACACAGAGAGAGACACACAGAGAGAGACACAGAGAGACACACACAGAGACACAGACAGAGAGACACACAGACAGAGAGACACACAGAGAGAGACACAGGCAGAGAGAGACAGAGAGAGAGACACAGGGAGACACACAGAGAGACACACAGAGAGACAGAGACACACAGAGAGGGTGAATGAGTGAGTGAGCGGGTGGGTGAATGAGTAAGTGGGTGAGTGAGTGGGTGAGCGGGTGGGTGAGTGGATGAGTGAGTGAGTGAGCGGGTGGGTGAGTGGGTGGGTGAGTGAGTGGGTGGGTGTGTGAGTGGGTGGGTAAGTGAGTGGGTGAGTGAGTGGGTGGGTTAGTGTGTGTGTGGATGAGTGTGTGTGTGGGTGAGTGGCTGTGTGGGTGACTGTGTGTGGGTGACTGTGTGTGTGGGTGACTGTGTGTGTGGGTTGTTTCTGTGGCCTCAGGGTGCACATAGTCTGGCACAAGCGTCGTGGTGACGTCACCGCCACTTAGTGGCGAATGGCGGTTGTTGTTGTTGTGTGTGGGTGAGTGTGTGCGTGTGGGTGACACACACACCGGTACCGCCTGGATCTGTGTGGCATTCAGGAGGTCCGGTGGACCGGCTCTGGCACCTGCCACCCTCCACCTTCAATTAATTACCACTAAACCACGAGTTAAACTGAAATATGTAACTAATATGCTTGTGCCGGAGGCCCCGGGGGGCCAGGCGTCTATGACGTCTCCAGGCCAAACCCCAATTGGCGGAGCCAGGAGATTGAATATCTACCCTCGGGGCTCCTCCAGAAACAACGAAAAGCCACTACGGGTGGCCACGTGGAATGTTCGAATGCTCACTGCGGAGGAGAGGCTGCCACTCCTCTGTCGGGAGCTGGACCGGTACCGCCTGGATCTATGCGGCATTCAGGAGGTCCGGTGGACCGGCTCTGGCTCCTGCCACCGTGAGGGGTGGACAGTCCTCTACTCAGGGCAGCAGACTGCCAAACAACAGGGTGTGGCTCTTCTTTTGAACAAAAGAATGAAGGGGGCGTGGGAGCGTGGCGGTGAGGTGTGGGAAGCTGTAAGCCCCGGGCTACTTTGGGCTCGCCTTCCCATCAACCGGAGGCGAAAAATGGTGGTCGTGGTTACTTATGCCCCCACCGAAGATGAACATCCGTGGAGGGATGCAGGCAAAGCAGATGAGTCAGATGCCTTCTATGACCTCCTGTCACAGGTGCTGGCTAAAGTGGCCCCTCGGGATAGAGTCATCATGTTGGGTGACTTCAATGCCCGAGTTGGTCATGATACTGGCACCTGGTCTGGAGTGATTGGAGGGCATGGGCCAGATCAGCTCAATAACAACGGTAGGAGGCTGCTAGATTTTTGTGCAGCCCATGGGCTTGTAATTACCAACACGCTGTTCCGGCATCGGCGCATCCACACAACATCATGGATGTATGCCGGGTCCAAGCAAGAAAATCTGCTGGACTACATAGTGACGGACCAGCGGATGCGAGCCCATGTCCTTGACACCAGGACCTACCGTGGAGCTGATCTGCCCTCTGACCATCGACTAGTCATCTGTAAGATGCGCCTGCCATTCTTCCACTCTGGTGGTGGGTGTACACCCAGGACCCCATTCCAACCTAAAGTGGCCTGGTCTCAGTTATCTGATGAAAGTTGCAAGCGAGAATTTCATCATCGCTTGCGGCTGGGATTGGCATCGTCCCCGACTCCTCCTGATGTCGAGGGTAAATGGGCGAGGTTTAGGACTGTGACTCATGCAGCTGCAATGGCTGCATTGGGTACGCGGTCCAGACCTCTCCAGAGACCCTGGCTGACAGAGGAGGTGTTCAGGATGGTTGAGAAAAAGCGACAGGCCCACTGTCATCGGCTACAGAATCCCACGTCAGAGAATGAGGAGGCTTACCGCAGCCTTCGCTCGGAGGTTCGGAGAGCCATGAGGCGCTGCAAGGATGGGTGGTGGTCGCGGGTTGCTGAGGAGATGGAGTCTGCCTCAGTGGCCCGTGATCACAAATCTCTATTTAACTCCATCAAAAAAGTAACCTGCAGCGCCACACCTATTACCATCATTAGGGGAAAAAATGGTGACCCAATCTCCGACCCCCAGGAACAGGTTTGCAGATTTGCTGAGCATTTCTGTGAGGTCCTGGGGGAGGGAAAATCCCTCAGCCAGGAAAACATCGTGGCACAAAGTGAGGATGACCCTGCTGAGGCTGCGGTGCCTCAAATATTGGAAGAAGTCACCCCCTGTGAGTGGCTGGCTGAGGTGCCATCTGTTGAAGAAGTACTGAAGGCGATCCGGAGTCTGAGACCAGGAAAGGCAGCGGGCAGAGATGATCTCCCAAGCGAAATTCTGAGGGAGGGTGGCGTTTGTGCACAGACTGCCCTATATGACATCATAACAACAGTCTGGACCACTGGACGGGTTCCGCAGGATTGGAAGGATGCCCTGGTGGTCCCCCTTTTTAAGAAGGGGGACCGCACAGACTGTAACAACTACAGGGGCATCTCACTCCTCAGTGTGCCGGGAAAGGTCCTGGCAAGGATTGTTCAACATCGCCTTGCCAGGCACGCTGAGGAGAGGCTTGGGGAGCCCCAATGCGGTTTCAGGAAAGGGCAATCCTGCACAGATGCCATATTTTCTGTCCGTCTGCTACAGCAGAGGTGTAGGGAATTCCAACAAGACCTACATCTCTGCTTTATTGACCTGGTCAAGGCCTATGATACCATCAGTAGGCCTGGGCTCTGGGTCGTTCTTCGTGCTTTTGGAGTACCTGACCCTCTGCTCACGATCATTAAGGACCTTCATGATGGTGAGCGGGCCCGGGTAAAACTACGTGGCCGGGAGTCAGAGCCATTCCCTGTACACCTTGGGGTGCGACAGGGATGTCCTCTGGCTCCCACATTATTTAACATCTATTTTGACCACGTAGTTCGTGAAGCCTTCAAAAGCTGTACCGGGGGAATCTCCATATGGTACAGATATAATGGGAGGCTAATCGATGCCCGGGTACGGTCAAGGGATGGCTCCCTATTGCTCAACCACGTTATGTATGCTGATGATTTGGTAATAGCTGCTCAGTCAGAGGAGGAGTTGGAGACGCTGCTGCTGAGACTGGAGCGTGCCACTAAGAGGTGGGGCCTTACCATCAGCCCCACCAAAACTAAGCACCTGCCTGGGTATTTTGTACCATCGGACACTCCACCCCCACAACTCCCAATCGGTGATGGGGCAGTTGTGGAGAGAGTGGAGAGTTTCCCATACCTGGGCAGTGTGCTTATGACTGGCTCCAGTTTAACAGCAGAGGTCTCACTCCGAAACAGTCGAGCGGCAATATCTTTTCATCGGTTGCGTAACGCTGTGTGGAAGCTACCTGGTCTGTCGCTCCGCACTAAGCTTCAGGTCTTCTCGGCCACGGTCATTCCCTCCCTTCTCTACGCTTGCGAAACGTGGACCCCCCTAATGGAACATCTTCACCGGTTAGAAACATTTAGGCTGGCCTGCCTACGATCCATCCTGGGTTTAACCAGACTGGATTGTGTGAGGAGCTCAAAAATCCTTGAAAGATCTTGGCAAGGTCCCATCGGTGAGCTCCTCCGGCGGGGAAGGCTGCGATGGCTGGGTCATGTAGCCCGCATGCCCAGCCACCGCATGCCGAAACAGCTTTTGTTTGGCCGGATTGAGGGGGCTAAACGGGCACGGCACGGGCTAGAGAAGAGATGGAGTGATGTGGTACAGGAGGACGTGGAGCTGAGTAGACTTGCCGATGACTGGTACCAGCAGTGTCAAGATCGGCCTCTGTGGAGGAGGCTCGTGAAGGATGCTACTGGGCAGTTGGAGGCAGTCGCCCTCCAACAACAACGGAGGGCGGAGGAGTGACGCTCAGAACAACAAGCGGAGCGCCGGGTGGCTAAAGCACAGCAGGTTGGCACAGTAGGGGGCACAGGTGGTGCATCAGCCAGTCATCTCAGTCATCTCAGTCAGTCGACCCGTGGCACCTGGGTCTGCCCCGTGACCTCCTGCCAGCGGGCGTTCGACACTTCACGTGGCCTCAAGGTGCACATGGCCTGGCACAAGCATCGTGGTGACATCACCGCCACTTAGTGGCGAATGGCGGTTGTTGTTGTTGTTGTGTGTGTGATTGTGTGTGTGTGATTGTGTGTGTGTGACTGTGTATCTATGTGTCTGTGTGGGGAGTGGTAGTGTAGCGGTTAGCGCTACGCTGCGCTATGAACCTGGCCACCCGGGTTCGATTCCCGCTCACGGCCAACACCAGTGACGATTATCTGAACCGGTCCCGGGCCTCCCCTAGGTCGACTCAGCCTCAAATGAGTACCTGGTGCGGTGTGTAGTAAACATCGCCACTGGGGGAGACAAAGGCGGTCGGGCGTGGTGCTGGCCACCCACCCCCTCGTGTACCGTTCCGGCCTTCATAGGTGCTCGCTAACAGCACTTGCCCCTACAGTCTGTTACAGGCTATATGGGGGATCTTTTATCTTTGTGGGTGTGTGTGTGGATGTACGTGTGTGTGCACATGGCCTGGCACATGCGTCGTGGTGAC